AAAAAAAAAAAAAAAAAAAAAAAAAAAAAAAAAAAAAAAAAAAAAAAAAAAAAAAAAAAAAAAAAAAAAAAAAAAAAAAAAAAAAAAAAAAAAAAAGGAAAAAAAAATTATTTTGTACACATGAGTGTTTTACTTGCATGTATGTATGTGTATTGTATTAATTCTGGTGCTTGTGAGAACAGAAGAGAGCATTGGAATCACTGGGACTAGAGCTTGTTAGCCACCTTGTAGGTGCTGGGATCCGAACGCTAGTCCTCTACAAGAACAGAAAATGCTTTTAACCATGGAGACATCCCTCCAGCACCACTGTACATACTTTTGAAAAGAAATCTTAGGTAGGCTTTGTATTTGTGTTATCCATACCAAATCTGGTGTCAGTAAACTTTGAATTAAGAGATAAGAGGTTATTGAGTCTCTTCCACTAATAGATATGTTTTTAAAGACACTCAGAAAGGTTTCTCTCTTCTTCCTTGTCCCCATTCTACCTTTAGTGACAGCATCAGTCTTAGAAGCTGTGGTCTAGCCATTTAACCATTTCATTGCTTATTTAAAGTTGAGAAATTTGACTTTAGAAGCTTCAGGTTCTTTCTCCTTGTGTAGGCAGCAATTATTTTGAGTTAGATTCTCTGTAAGCTACATTATTGACTGACTGATTGATTGATTGTGTATGTGTGGGAGTACAGTACATGGCATAAATACGTAGATCAGAGAACAACCTAGGGAACTTGATTTCTCCCTTTCTCCCATATATGTATCAGGGATCCAACTCAGGTTATTAGACTTGGTGGTAAGCATTGTCACCTGCTGAGTCATCTAACTGCTTCGTAGGTAATGTTGTTGTTGTGGGTTTTATTTTGTTTTTTTTTTTAAGACAGGGTTTCTCTGTGTAACAGTCCTGGCTGTCCTGGAACTCATTCTGTAGACCAGGTTGGTATTGAATTCACTGAGATTCACTTGTCTCTGACTCCCAAGTACTGGGATTAAAGGTGTGTACCTGACTTTTTTTTTTTTTTTAAAAAAAACAAGCAGAGTTTTCAGCCAGGTCTCCAAAGCAAGTTCCAGGATAACCAAGGCCACACAGAGAAACCTTGTCTAGAAAAACAAAAAAATCAAGACAGGGTTTCTTCATGCAGTTCAGGTTGGCCTTGTATTTGCAGTCCCTGTTGTAATAAGAGCAGCGGGGCTGCGCCCCTAGCACCCTGGCCGCCTGGCTAGCTTATGCCCCTAAATAACAACACACAAATTGTATTCATTTAAACACTGCTTGGTCCATTAACTCTAGCCCTTACAGGCTAATTCTCATATCCCGATCAACCCATCTCTAATAATCTGTGTAGCATCAGTCTTACCGGGAAAGATTCTAGCCTACGTCCATCCTGGGTCGGAGCTTCATCGCCTGTGCCTCAGAGAGCAGAGCTATCACACGTCCCCAGGAGAGGGGAGCATGGTGTCTCTGAGCTCACTTCCTCTTCCTCCCAGCATTCTGTTCTGTTTACTCCTCCCACCTATGTTTTAACCTATCAGGGCCAAACAGTTTCTTTATTGCTTAATCAATGAAATCAACAGATTGATATATGACACTCCCACATCAAGTCCCCCTGCCTCACTCTCCTGAGTGTTAGGACTCAGACTACCATGCCTGGCTACTGCGTTGCAGCTTCACATTTTGCTCTCCTTTAAGAAAGGTGGCACTAATTTTTAGTTTCTTATCTTGACCTTTGTAAGCTGCCTTTTTGAATGTGGTTGGTGGTCAGTCAGACTCCTAGTATCTCTGCCAGTCATACCTAGGCAGGGTAAACAGGACTCCTATGTCCAGCAGTCTCTGCTCTCCCTGTCCTCCTTCCACTGAGTGTAGCTTGGGGACCACCTCCATGCCACCTGCCAACTTTGGGAAACTTGCGAGACTTCTTTTCCTTCTCTAGCACCTGCTACCTCTTCTTTGTTCTGGTGTTTCACCTGGAGCTATGGTCATTTGGAGAATGTTTCATCTAATAGAGAGTACTTAGTCGCCCCTGGATGCCAGCCATTTATCTTTTTACTAAAGAATAAATGTGACACTCATTTATTTCACAGTATTTGGAAAACTAAGAAAAGTGCACATACATGAATTACAAGTTATCTATAATCCTATTCACAGAGAAGCCATTGTTAACATGTTTTGATTTTTCAGATCATTCCTTTATTTCTTCCTTCTTTGTCTTAGTTAGGGTTTCTATTGCTTCAATGAAACACTATAACCAAAAAGCAAATTGAGGAGGAAGGGGTTTATTTGGCTTACACTTCCACATTGTAGCCCATTACTGAAGGAAGTCAGGATAGAAACTTTAAACAGAACAGGAACCTGGATGCTGGGGTTGATTGCAGAGACCTTGGAAGGTGTTACTTACTGGCTTGCTCCTCGTGACTTGTTCAGCCTGGTTTCTTACAGAACCCAGTATCACTAGCCCAGGGATAGCATCACCCACAGTGGGCTGGGCCTCCCTGTCAATCACTAATTACGAAAAAAAAAAAACCCTACAGCTACTAGATCTTTTTTTTTTTAATTTAGTTACTGCTGGATTTACAAAGGCTTGCTTGCTTGCTTGTTTTCCTCCCCTCCCTCCCTCCTTCCCTCCCTCCCTCCCTCCCTCCCTCCCTCCCTTCTTCCTCTTCTTTTCTTTTTTTCTTTTTTGGTTTTTCAAGACAGTGTTTCTTTGTATAAACAGTTCTGGCTGTCCTGGAACTCAGAGATCAGCCTGCTTCTGCCTTTCAGGTTCTGTGATTAAAGGCCTGTACCACTACTGCTCTTTTTTTTTTTTTTTTTAAATTT